AAGGACACACCAACAAAGGAGATTAATCAGAACTGACTTTGACAAGCACTGTGGCAATTGGACAATTAAAACAGACATTCAGATGGCGGGGAAGAAGAACAAAATGGGGAGGAGGGTAGAGAGAATGGTGCAGCAATGAAGGAATGAAAACCCAAAATCCCTGTGAATGTTCATTAAAACTAATAAAATTTAATAAAAAAAAAAAGACCCAATTTTTTTTTTTTTAAATTAGAGTGTTGAGGACCAATAACCAGAATAGGAGCAAAATAAACCCTGGAATGGGAGAATTAGAAGGGGCATGGCGAGCCCTTCAGGAACCTGATTGGGAGACTATGTTAGTGCCAGAACTTGAGCAGAACACGTTGCTTTGGACACCATGTTGCTGGTGGTGGTGTTATGTGCTGTCAAGTCACCTGTGACTCACAGAGACCCTATGTACAACAGCCCTGAAGCCTGCCCTGTTCTGAGCCAGTCTCACTGACTCCAACTCATCTACACCCAGTTACCCCAGTTACTGTGTCAATCCATCTCATCTGGGATCTTCCCCTCCTGCCCTGTCCCTCTGCCCTTCTGAGCATGATGTCTTTCTCCAAGGATCGGTCCTTCCTTGCCACGTACCCAAAATATGTGAGACAAAGCTTCAAAATTCTAGCCTCCAAGGTGAAACTTGGTTCCACCCTCTCCAAGACAGACCTTTGGTTGCTATATAACACACATGGTGCCTTGTTTTCTGAGAGGGAGATTATGTTTCTCACAGGGCATCAACCAGTGATTTTCCTATTGCAGTTATTGTTCTGATTGACTTACATTTTACAAATGTGGGTAGTTGTTATGTGTCGTTGAGTCAACTATGACTCATAGCAGCCCTATGCACAATAGCTCTGAACCATGTTTTATCCTGAGCCAATCTCACTGTCTCTTCATCCACACACCTACTTTCATTACCCCAGTTATTGTGTCAATCCATCTCATCTGAGGTCATCCTCTCCTGTGCTGCCCCTTGACCCTTCCAAGCCTTATACCATATCCTTCTCCAGAGCTGGCCCCTCCTGGTTACATGACCAAAGTATGTGACACTGAGTCTCAAAATCCTTGCCTCAAAGGAGCAGCTTGGTTTCCCCTCTCCAGGACAGACCTGTTAGTTCTCTTGGAAATCCATACTACGTTCAAAACTCTTCTACAGGACCACAACTCAAAGGCATAAATCCTTCTTCTGTGATCCTTAGTCACTGTCCAGCTCTTTGGTGCATGGCAAGTAATTGTGAAGACCCTAGCCTGGATTAGGCACACCTTAGTCTCTAGACTGACATCCTTAATCTTCAGCATTCTGGAGAGATCCCTGACAGACTTAGCTAATGTAAGTCATCTTTTGATTTCCTGACTGCTGGTGCCAAGAGTGTTGATTGTGGAACTGAGCGAACTGATATTTTTAACAATCTCAGTCTCTTCTCTATCTATAATGATACTGCCACTTGGCCCAGTGATAAGAATCTGTTTTCTTAATTTCTCATCACAAATGTGGGTACTGTCTTATTTTGATTTTGTAGCCATTACTAAATTGAAAAAGACCAGCTCATAGTCCCAATTCAAGCTCAAGACATGCCACTCGATGGCCTCTGAGGAAAGACCCAGTGCCCACCTGGCAGGAAGGCAGCTTGCTAGAGTGCATAAATCCCAGATTGTACCAGAGCTCATGCCTTGCTAAGTGACCTTCTCATTGTCAGTCAGTTCCAACTCATAACTACCCTCTGTCAGGTTTCCAAAGCTATAAATCTTTTTCTATCAGAGTAGTTAGTGGATTATAACTGTCAACTATTCCATTGGTGCCCGATATGTTAGACACCAGGATTCTTTAAACGACCTGTAGTCGTTGTGTACTGTCGAGGAGTAAGACCTGACCCATAGCTGACCCTCCAGTCGGTGTGAATTGCACAGGAGGTAACTGCCCTTCTGTGGAGTAACTGGTGGGTTCAAACTACATGCCTTTGGGTTGGCAGAGCAATTCCTTTCCACTAAACCACCAGAGCTTCCTCAAGTGACCTTAGGCAAGTCATTTAGCTTCCCAGAACTTCAAGTGCTCTCTCTATAACGTGGGATAACACCCATCTCATACCCACAGCTGCTGAGTCGATTTTGACTCATGGCTTCCCAACAGGATGGAGCAGAGCTGCCCCACAGGGCTTCCTAGGCGGTGATCTTTACTGAAGCTGACAACCTTTCTCTTGTAGTGCCTCTTAGGGGGTTCAAACCACCAAACTTTCCATTAGTAGTCAAGTACCTGAGCTTTTAATTGACATCATAACATTTTTTTTTACATCATAACATTTAAAAAAAGACCTAACGGCAGTTGCCCTCAAGTCAGTTCTGACTCGTGGAGACCCCATGTGCGTCCCCACTGTACAGCCTTCCCATTGAGTCCTCGCTTCCCATCAGTACGGAGTGGGCTTCCTGAGCTTGTTCATCTTTACAGGAGGAAATTTCCTATCTATCTCCTCTGTGGTCTCTGTGTGCCATCGGGTCAGCACTGACTCATAGCTGACCCTCCAGCAGGTTTTCAGAGGCTGTAAATAGCATGTGAGGAGACTGCCCATTTTTCTCCTGCAGATCAGTTGTTGGATTCAAACCACTGGTTTTGGGGTTGGCAGTGCAACTCCTTACCATTAGGCCGCCAAAGCAGCTGGTAGAGTCAAACTGCCAAGCTTCTGCATGGCAGCCCAAGGTGGAGTAGAACTATGGCCCACAGGGCTTTCAGTGGAGGCTCTTTTGGGAAATAAATCACCAGGTCTTTCTTTTAGTACACTCGTAGGTGGACGTGAACTCCAATCTTTCAGCTGGTAGTTGAGCATCCGTGCACCTGGAGGGGACTCTATCACACTGCTGGAAAGATCTAAGTAACTCAGACCTCTGATGGTAAGAAGCTGCGCTGCAACCCCAAAGGCGCACAGTTCTAATCCACCAGCTGCTCTGCAGGAGAAGGATGGGCAATCTCCTCTCATGCAATTTACTGCCTCTGAAAACGCGCTGGAAGGTCAGCTATGGGTTGCTTCTAACACAACAGCACGTAACAACAATAAAACCAAGTAACTCGTAAAGGTAATTGGCAAAGTGTAACAGACAAAAGCCTGCGGCTAACTAGATGGATCTTCCTCTTTAACGGGAGGTGAAACCTCAAACTGTGCATACAGAGGAGCTGCCCTGGGGTCCTGCCCTTTGCTCCCTACCAGGCCCACAGCAGCTCACCCTTCTCCACGGCGCCCCTCCACTTGCGGGCCCAGTCGGCCAGCTGCTGGGCGTAGGCCTTCTCAATGCGAGCGCGCTCCTGGAAGCAGCTGACTAGGTCTCCACATAGCCGATGCCCATCCTCTATCCGCTGCACTGTCCGCCGGTAGTTGCCAGCCTGAGATGGGCATGAAAAGGGTGGCATTACCAAGGAGAAGCCCCTTTGTGGACTGGGGCTGACCTCTGAGCTCCTGCCCTGGAGAATTGGCTCAGCCCTGAGTGGTGGGAATTTCAGCGCCTCACACACACCCGGAACCCAGCTGCTCACCTCCCAGAAGCTGCCTCCAAGGGCCTCCCCTCCGGCGTCATCCTCTGGAGCCATGGTGTCCCCGCAGCACGGAATAGTGGCAGATTTAGGGCTGTGGGGGGCAGAGGAGTAAGCAAGGAAGTTGGTCATACACTTCATGGGATGAGAATAGACCCTCTCTCCTCCTCCAGTCCCTTACCCAAATCCCACCCAGGCCAATCAATGGGTAAGATTTAACAGGCAGAGGGCTGGAGGGGATACCAAGAGGTGGCAGGATAAGGGCATGATGACACTTCCAAAGTTCTTTCTCTAGTCTCGGGTTGCCCTTCCCGCTTACACACACAGCTGAGACACTTGGCATCCGACTCAGCAAGCTGCCCCCTGCGCCAGTGCCAGCAAGCTGACCAGAGCAAAGCAGGAGTTGAGGGCAGGGGCTTGGACATCAGCGCAGTGCCTGGCTCCCCCAATATAGCAACTGCTGTCAGAAGCACCAGATTCCAGCCAGGAGGGAGGATGCCAGGCTGGTCACACAATCCAGCTAGGGATTAGGTGGCAGGAGGGGGTGGCAGTGGAAAGAGGTCCCACTCCTCAGACTGCAGATAAGACCAGCGGCTGTGACCCAAGCTGGGGCCCTTACTTCCTTTATTTGAAGGGAGCCAAGGGTGAGGGGTCAGACATACCCCCAAGCTCCCCGTGCTAGAAGAGACTATGGTTGGGAGGTTCAGACAAGTGAATGTTACAATCCCAGCTACCAGCTACCTCCTAGACAGAAAACACACACACGCGCATGTGCACGCACGCGGGTGGGGCTGGCTTCCATTCTAGGACTGGTATAAGCCTCAAACCAGGCTATGAACTAGAATCAGAAATACACTGAAGGGTTAGACAAACACTAGGAGACATTGCTCTCTGAACCCACAACACTCACTGAGGTCCCACAGGGCTCTGGGGGTAATGAGCCACTCAGGGTCCAGCCCCACAACCCATAGTGTGAAGAAGGATGGGACAGGAGAATGACCGGTGATTGGCCGATTATAAAAAACAGCCATCCAGAACTACAGAGAAGAGCAAGGTGAATTCCAGCACCAAGCCATCAGCTCAGGGCCTAAAGCCCAAGGAGGCCCACGCTCCCTACCTACTTCCCAGCAGGGTCCCATCATTCCCATCACAACTCCTAGAACCTAGATGGAAAGCTTTTCTCCTCTGGGCAAGTTCAAGGTGCAGGGAGCAGCCAAACCCAGGAGGGCAGAGTTTGTGCCCACTGTCCTCAAAGCAGGGCTTGACCACAGTGCCCGCCTCTCCAAACTGAAGAAACCCTATTCATCTTCAAAGCTCGAGCTGAGGCATCTTCCTCACAGTCTGTCCCTCTGTGGTCTGGGTTCCCACAGCCTCTGGTCATCCCTCTGTCAGGGTATCTGTCCCACTCTCGTGTCACTGACAGACTGGATCTGTCTCCAGTCACTGAGTGAGACTTCCTAGTGGTCTGAATAGTGTCTTCACAGGAGCTAGGCATCTGTAAAGGAGTCTTGGTGCTGCAGTGGTAGAAACCCCTAAAGGTGACCTGTACAAACCCACCAGCCCTCTGTCTGAGAAAGACGAAGCAGTGTAAGGATCACAGCCTTGGAAATCCTAAAGGGCCCATTCTCTTTGGTCCTACAAAATCTTCAAGGGTTGGGAACCATGGGAGGTCAGTGGTTTTAGGAGAGCTGTAATTGTCAGTTGAGTGAATGAGGTGCACCTGAAAAGATCAGCTGGCTGGCTGGAGCAACAATAAAGAAGGTCCTCCTGAGTGGGCTTCCACCTGGCTCAGGTCATGCTAGAGTCCCCCTGAAGGGTGCAGGGAGCAGAGGGTCGCTGGGCACAAAGCTTGGCCCCCAGTGCTCAACCTCACTTCTCATGTTTGTCCCATTTGCCAACCAGATGGAGGGAAACAGCGCTGGAGCTTGAGACTGGGCCTTCTGAGTTGTCACAGCCCTCGAGGAACTGGGGCCCCTGCCTGCTTCAGCCACCGTGTACTCCCCGATCCGCGGGGAGCTGTTCCCCACCCGTTCCCTGTCTCCAGAGCCAGAACAGAGCGGGCTGTGTGTGCTGGGCTGGCACTACTCCCTCGGGCCTCCCAGAGCAAGCACAAGCCCTGGCCCCAGGCACAGCCAGGCCTCGCGGCCTGCACCTGACTGGACAGCAGGGCTGGCTCCTGCACCCTGGGAGCCCCCCATCAGAGAAGGTCTGCTCCTGGCCTCAGCATGGCCGCAGACCACTCTCCTCCAGGGGCAAAAGCTCAGAGAGCAGAAAAAGGCAGCCAATCTCCCAGTCCTGGAAGACAGCACCCACCACCGGGCAGAAGTTTCAGGAGCTTGTGGGGCTCGCCTCCTAGCTGCTTGGATTAAGGTAGGCAGTCCCGGGGCTCAGTGAAGAACCCCTCCCCCCATCTGAGGCCCTGAGGAAATCCTCACCCAGGCATCCCCCGCCTCTCCCAGAAACTAGGGGTATGAGCCTGGGAGAGGAGCAGCCATCGTGCCCTGCCCATCCCTCTGTCCTGAGTCACAGGCTTCTGCGCCCAGGGGCCTCTTCCCCCAGCAGCCCCTCCCGACCTGCCCAGCCCCTGAGGGTCTGTGCCACTGAGACTGGAGGGGCTGGAAGCGGCGACAGCGCGGCCCGGGCGCTGGGGGAGGGGGGAAGGGGCAGGGGCCAGGGGAGGAGGCAGGGCCGGGGAGGGGCAAAACAAAAGGGCACTTTTGGAAACCCAACCTGCTCGCCGATGAC